ACCTATGCACATATCCCATCCTGGTAGCTATAACACCTTGAGCAGGTTAGTATACACTCGGGACCTCAAATCCTTAATCCAGCGGTTCTCAGCCTTTGGGTCCAGACCCACAGGAACTGTATTAAAAGGGCCACAGCATTAGGAAAGTTGATAACCACTGCCTTGATCTATAGCATAGGGATAGTATGTATTTCTCAGGCTTATTTGAGGATTAGAGATAGAATGTGCAAGTGCCTAGCAGAGTGCTGCCCACCCAAAAGACTCTCCATAAATGATAGCTACTGTCGTCACTGGGCAGTGAGAAAACTCATTAGGCACAGCTTACTCCTAGTTGGAGGTACTTGTCATTAGAAAATATGGTGTCTAGGGGTGGCGCCTGTGGCTCAAAAGGGTAGGGCACTGGCCCTATATGCTGGAGGTGGCGGATTCAAACCCAGCCCCAGCCCCCCCCAAAAAAAAGATTAATAAGAAAATACGGTGCCTCAGCCTTCAGCCTTTGTAACCTGAGAACCTCTACAAGGGCTCTCTCTGGAGCTAACTGGGGGACAGCAGTGGTATAAAAAGTTTATAGGCTCTGCACACAAAATCAAGATCCTTGGACAATGCATTAAATTAAGATACTTAACCATTTCAAGTTTTAACCATAGATTGGAATAAGAATTTCTCTGTTTTCTGTGCAGTGCCCTTTCAGCTCTTTAGTTCTTTACACTTTAGTTTTTGATAGTGCTTTCTTTTCTTTTCATTCATTTATTCACTTATGTATGTATTCATTCTTTTAGTAGCTATTTCCAAAACCTCTAATGTATGTCAAAGAGGAAAAAGTGACATATAGTCCCAGCAACACAGGAGTTTGAAGACTAGTCTTCCCACCCCAGCTCTGTTGCATGAGTACCCTGTACTCGTTCATGCTGGCTTTCTCCATTCCTCAGCCCCTACTCGTATTTCTCCAACCACCCTTCTCTATCCAACTATTAGACTCACCGATCTTGCAGCTTCCTTAGAAAAAATAGACTCACTGTTTGGAATAAAGCATTCAACATAATGTCAATGATGGCATTCATCAGTGTTTATTCTACTTTAGCAGGGATAAAACAGGAAGGATCTGAAGTGAGCAATTTAGATACCCCCTTGCTGTAGAGAAGAATGTGACCTAGCATATTTGGGTTGGAAAGTCTACTTTGCTTTGTGCTTGTACTTTTTATCCCATTTTAGGGTAGAAAAAATAGAAGAGGAGCTGGGGAATGAACAAAGATGTAGATCACATAGCATTGCTTTATTTTACTTTTCAGGTGAGATATTTGTAGAATCATTTTATGTTTTATTTAGAATTACATGTTTTTCATAAGAACACAAACACTGTCATTCAAAATCCTTATGCACGTAATCCACACAAAATCCATATGCATGTAATATATGTGCCAGACCACAAATAAGAATAGTTTCTGGACTATTTCCTATTTTCGTTGTTTGAGACTGCAGTCATCAGTAAAGTTAGATAATTGGGATACTTCATGGAGCCATTTGAAATTCCACTGGGTTAGGACAGGGATGGTAGCCACAGTTACAGTGAAAATACATTACTGTATTTTGCTGTCAATACAGTGCACTCCTGTGTATAAAGCACACCCATGTTTTTGGCCCAAACTTTCAGGAAAAAATCTTTCAGTTTAATTTTTCAATTCAAAGTTTTATTTGTTTATATATAGGTACTTGTTTTTTGTATTACAAAGGAATTTTGGCATTTATTTTTTAACATGATAGTATAAGAAATGTTATGTAACAAAGAATTACAAAACATAAGAACAGGTACAGGGTACAAGGGATTCTCCAATGAGTTTTATAAAGATAGCAGCTAGATTGCTAAGCTCCCACCTAAAGCATATGAAGAGAAATACATCAATCTTCGTTGGCCAAATATGCTTTTATTGCAAGCTCATTGTAAGTTCAGCACAACCAATTACTGTATTTTAGGGTATTATTTTGCATACAGATACCATCATTTCTTTCTAGAGTTACACTTTTAGCACATAAGCATAAATAAAAGAATTTAAAACATTTATATAGCTACAGAATTAGTACTACCCATGTATCATGCGCATCCTTATTTTTCCCTCAGAAATTTGGGCCAAAAAGTGCACATTATACATGACAAAACATGGTATATTGAATGCCTACTATATGGCGAGCACAGTGCAAAACGAATAAAAGAAGTCGTTCCTCACAGCAGCCTTCAAAGGAGTTGTAGTCCTCCATTTTATATGTGAACAAAGAAAGGCTCAGAGAAGTGACATACCTACCTAGTGTCCCAAGTTAAGTAGCAGGGTCAGATTCGGGCTGGGTTCTGACTGGCTCCAAAGCCTATCCCTGCTATACCATGTTGGTTTCTCTTCATAGAGAGAAATTTCTTAGCATACTCCTGCCACATCCTGTGGGAAGGATGAAGGAAAAGGAAGAAGTACCTGAGGCAGCATGGAGTGTGGTTTTCCTAAGTGGACCAGCTCACACAACTTCCTTTCCCAAATGGACCCTTCCCTGGTTTGGCAGAATCGCTGCTTGGGATGATGTAATGGATAACATACGCGTTTTAGACAAAGGCCTTAGAAAATGTAGCCTAGGTTGGGCAGATAGGCAATAGCCTTTCCAGCCATCCCTATAGCAATGAAAGTTAGTGGAAGCTGAAGGAGTAGAGCCTTAGCTCCCGCAGGCATTACCTGTACCAAATACTGATGGTGCCTGTGACTCTTTGCAGGCTGGGATGGTGCAGAGTTGCCTAGAGCTGTCTCCTTTCATTGTTCATTTATTTGTGTCGTTAACCACAGAGAGCCTCCCTCCAGAGATTTCATATTACCTGGGAAGGAATTCTGTACCTAAGCATTTCACCCAGTATTTCTTCCACATAAGGCATCCTCCTCCAAAGGAATTTGTCCCAGTGCTTGGGCTCCTTCCTCATGCCCTACTCGAGGATTATTTCTTTTAAAAATTCTAGAAATAGATGGCCATGTCAATACCATTTTAGCAGATTTGCTCACTAGTTTCCATATTTCCAGAAAAGTAAAAAATAAATGCCCATTTTAGCCAACTTTATTTTTAGAAAAGTATTTTATTCAAACATCCCCTTATTACAGACATAAATACATGCATTCAGACAAATGAATACACGGGAGAACCATATAAAGTAATTGGCACATCACTTCAAGATGCTTTGTCAGTTACTGGAGGAATTTGGTGCCTCTGACTTTAATCTTTTCCATTAAAATATCCATTCTGCCTTCAGATTGTGAAGCCCATAATATTTTAGACTGTCTCTGTGGATCTGTTAGTTTTGCTTGTCAGTTTAATTTGTGGCTCTATGACTTTGGGTGATTGCACATGGAGACATGTGATCAACAAATGATGTTCAACATGCCAGGCTGAAGACCTACCCTTTCTCCAGGGAGACTGGACATACCATAAATATGGAATTGGCAGATGTCATTTGCGTCCAGCCTAATTGTTATGATGATGATGATGCATGGAATGGTGGATGTTTAGAGCTACAAAGGAGCTCATTACTGTTATTACATGCCTTAAATGTTTATAACATGTTTTGCTCTGTGCAACACATTTTATACACACCATCTCATTGATTGTCAGAGCTTCCTGGTGCTAGATTATTATTTCCCTCTTTATAGTTAATGAAACTGAGACACAGAAAGAGGTTCAATAACTCGTGTGAAATCACAGGGAAGATCGGTATGCAAAAGTGTTAGAAGACAAAACCAAATGTGTTCTGAACAAGCTAGGTCACCAAAGCCCAGTTAGGGGTGGTGTGTGCAGTAGCCTTTGCACATAATTGCCATTTCCCCTGCTCTCCTCTAGGGAAAGGAGATCTGGAGCTATGAGAATTGAAGGGTTTATAAGCAGGAGGTAGAGTCCAAAAAGCAGAAGCTGTATCATCAGCTCCACATAAGTGTCTGAAACCTTCTTCACAGCCACTTCCTGGCCTCCCTGCTTTGGTTTCCCCTGCACAGTACACATTCTACATGTCTCTTTCTTAAATACAAATCTGAGCATGTCTTGCCGCAGCTGCAAACCCATCACTGGCTCCCCACAGCTGTAAGGATAAAGTTTAGATTCCTCTGGCACTGTGGTCTCGCTTCTGACCCGACTATTCTTTTCTGTCACACTGAGTTTCTTGCCATTCTTTTTATCCCCACCATCCTTTTTGCTGCTTTCTCTGCTTACAATGCATTTATGATGAACTCCTTAAATGTTACTTTTTCTATGGAGTTTCCCCTCACTTCTCCTGAAGGACCTAGAAGCTTCCTTTCCTCTTCCGCATGCCCACAGCTCTTTCCTAGCTGTATTTCCTGTTACTTATCTTCTGGGTGGTCTACCCAGAAGGCTTCAAGCTACTTAAGGGCAGAATTTGTGGTAAATGTATATACGTGTATTCTCTTATCTCCTCTACGAGTCTTACAGAGGATAAGCATGTACACGAGCAAATGAATGAGTGAGTGAATGAAGAATGAATGAGCAACATTGAACAGCCTGAGCCAGCAGGAGACACGGTATTCCAAGGTCACATGGAATGTACTCCATTCTCTACTCTCAGTCTCTGGGAGAGGCCATGGAGAGCTGCAGCCCCTCTGTAACATAACCTCTTAGGTGAAATGAGAAGCAGATAGGGAGATGAGTCAGGCCTTTTCCTGGTGCCCTAACATACAGGAAAGCACATCAGAGTTGAGAGACAGGGACTAATCCTCCTGGCCTGGTGACCTCTGACTTCTGCTCACCCAGAAGGTTCTCACCAAAGCTTTCCACTCTTTGGTGGTAAAACTCTTTATCAAGAGTTCCTATGGGCAGAATTGTAAGCTTCCAGATTCTAGCCTATTTGTCCAGGAAGAAGCCTCCTGGCTGTTCCCAAAATGGAGGTATGGCAGGTAAGCACATAAGAGGCCTGGGATTAGAGGGAACTCTGAGCTAAAGCATCCCATTCTTCATGTGACTCTGTCTTCTAGATGATGTCTGTCCTCATGAACACCATTGTCTTTGAAGACTGTCGGAACCAGTGGTCAGTGTCCAGGCCTCTCCTGGGGCTCATCCTGCTCAATGAGAAGGTGAGTATGATTTCGAAGGGGGTTCCTTGGGAGGAGAGAGAAGCCATACACCAGGCTGAGATGTGATGATGGAGAACAGGGACAGAGCCAACAGAGTTGGAGCTACAACTTTGAGAACTCTGTAGCAACACTATCTTCCCCTAGAGGGCCCTTCCCCAAAGGTCTCAGATCCTTCTCGAGTTAAGCAGAGGCCTCAAAACTAGCTCTTCTGGGCTCAGCACCTGTGGCTCAAGTGGCTAAGGCGCCAGCCACATAGACCTAAGGTGGTGGGTTTGAATACAGCCCAGGCCCGCCAAACAACAATGACAACTGCAACCAAAAAATAGCTGGCGTTGTGGCGGGCGCCTGTGGTCTCAGCTACTCGGGAGGCTGAAGCAGGAGACTCACTTGAGCCCAGGAGTTGGAGGTTGCTGTGAGCTGTGATACCACAGCACTCTATCCAGGGGGACAGCTTGAGGCTCTGTCTCCAAAAAAAAAAAAACTAGCTCTTCTGAAACTCGGTGGCCCTACTCATTGGGTGAGTGGTTTGCTCAGTAGTATTTCAAGCTCACCCTCTCTCTCCTCCCTTTGTTGCCAGGGAATTTTTAGCAACAACCCTTTTTCCTCCTCCCTTAGCTTCTTTCCTATCTGAAATCCTCACTGCCATAGATGGTTACAGCAACAGCCATCAGGGATTCCGACACAGAACTAGCACCCTTCATGTAGGGAATACACATCTCCAATTTCTTAACTATATTCCCCCCACCCCCTAGCTGCCTCCCAAGCCTTTCTGCCTTCCTCTTCCACCCCTGTCTCCCCAGTAGTCAGTAGGAACAGTGCGTTACAGCTTGGGAGAATGAATTGTCTATACAATAAGATAGTACTGGGCAAAAAGACAGTGAGATTAGAGGCAGCTGCATGCATTAAAATTCAAACTAAAATCCCAGCCTTGGAAGGAAACTAATAGAAGAAGAAAATATATCAAAAAGAGAAGAGCTGTCTCATCATTCACCTGTGCTGAAGTATCCAATTTTAGCCACATTCAATAGCACTGTCATTCATCTTCCCTCGGTGTTATTGTGATTTAAATCCAAGCTCTATAAAAGAGAGCAGTTCTTTTAAAATGATTGAGAGGGAATAAGGGCAAATTCAGTGTTTAGAAAAAGCTTATGACATCACAATATTATACTTTACTGATGGAGGCAATATTTCATGGTTTGGGATAAAAAACTAATAATTTTCTATTTGGTGTGAGTCACAGCATCATTATAAAAGGGAAAAATAAGTAGTTTTGTGCATTCCCAATCTTGTTCAGGAAGACATTGTGGTTTAAGTATAATGCCTCTGATATATAGTATTTAAGTATTAGTCTGACTACATATTAATTATGTGTGTTTTCTGATGTGAGTTGTTTTAATGTATGATGGAAATTAAATATCATGCTTTTGGGGCTTGAAAGGATAAACACATGACTGGTAAAATGTTGTCTTTGCACTGAAATTAGGCTGTTTCCACTGATTAGGAGCTGTGTTTAGCATCAGAGTTTGTATTTATATAAAAACCATAAACCACGGCAGAGAAGAGAGCCTGTGCAGATTTTTGTGCCTAGATGTGACTGATGTTTTTCTTAGTGCCAGAAAGCTCTCCCCAAACTGAGCAAGCCCCTGTAGTATCCCGTCTCAGCAGAGCAGACCCATTATAACCCACAAGGGCAGAGACTTGGAACAGAGCCTAGAGTTGATGGATTCACTGAAGCCAGGAAAGATGATGAGGCCTGAGGGGAGGCCCTTGGTCTTGCCTTCAGTCACCCCAACTGCTCCCTGGGTAGGCATTTTTAGTGAAGTTCTTCCCTTCAGCCTGGGCAGCCCTTCTTCTTTCAGCCTTTCTGGGATTTGTGGAGATAAGACTTAAAAAAAACATGTATTTAATCCCCTACAAAGGATTCAAGGGCTCCATCAGCCTAAACAGTGACAATAGAACAATTAAGCAAGAGATTTTATGAAAAGAGATGATAGAATTTATACCTAAGAGCAAGACTACTGTTTAAGTTTTCTCTAAGGCAGTGATTCCTAATGCCGTGGCCCTTTAATACAGTTCCTGTGGGTCGCGACCCACAGGTTGAGAACCACTGCTCTAAGGGCTTAAAGTTCAAAATGGACCTGTACAAAAATTCCTCTGAGCTATTCTATTTCCCAACAGTATTTCAGCGAACTGAGAGCAAGCCTGATAAACAGCCAACCTCTCCCCAAGCAGGAGGTCCTTGCCCAGTGTTTCAGGAACTTAATGGAAGGAGTGGAGCAGAACCTGTCCATCAAAAACAGAGACAGGTGAGCAGTTCCCAGTAGGGCATCTGGAGGAGGCAGACATTCCTTTTGTTGAAAATAACTGGACTTAACATAGTTTATGTATTGATATGGCTTTTCTATTACACCTATGATCCTAGACTCAATTCAGTTCCATTCAGTAACCATAATTGGGGATTTGCTTCCTTCTAAGCATCAAGCTCAGAGGTACAGGACAGGGATGCAGAGATTAATAAAATGTAGCCTTAAGCAGTTTCTGATTCAACAGGAGAGAGATAAAAAATAACAGTGATTGAAAAGATCAAAGATTATGGTGGCTCACACCTGTGATCCTAGCACTTTGGGAGGCCGAGGTAGAAGAATTACTTGAGGCCTGGAGTTCAAGACCAGCCTGAGCAACATAATGTGACTTCAACTTTACAAAAAAAGAAATCTAAAGAACTAAAAATAAATTTTTTTTAATTTAGCCAGGTAGCACACACCTATAGTCCCAGCTACTTGGGAGGCTGAGGTGGGAGGATCATCTGAGCCCAGGAGTTTGAGATTGCAGTGAGCTGTGATACACCACTACATTCTAGTCCAGAGAGGGAGGAAGGAAGTTTACAAAACTTGATTGAGAATCTGCTCTGTACAGGCACTGGGGACACTAGTGGCAAACTACTCAAGCTTCCTGCCCTCGTGGAGCTTCTGTTGTAGTAGAGGAGACAGGCAGTGATGAATGATGGAAAAATACAATGTGTTCAGGAAAAAACTTCTCACACCATCCTTTTATAAATATAGTAGTATTCAAATGCTGTGCCATTTGAAATGCAGATCATCAGTAGCCACAATGTATCCTTGAGTTGCCAGCTTGGGTTTGGTAATACCAGGCCAAGCAAGTCACATGGCACCTGCCAACATGTCTCTTGACTATTCATTTCACTCCAAGATCCACTATAAGGCAGAAAGGGGCAACTACAGAAGCCAGCAAAGAGATGTGATGAATGGGAAAACCCTAGGTGCCTTGGGGTAAGTTGTCTCACCTAAGGCTGCTCTGTGAAATGGTGTCCAGCAAACCCCTAGTTTAATGAGAGTAATAGCCAGCAAGGACTATTGTCCTCATGCTGGGCATTGCATGCGCTTACAGGCATTGTTTGAAATTGACTCAATAAATTCTCACTTTCTGCAATCCTTGAGGTAGCTACTAATATTAGGGTTCTAAGATAAGAGGCTGAGTATTCATCCAAGGTTATCTAGCTAATAAGTGGTAGACCCAGTATTTGAACCCAAGTAGTCTAACCCCATGTTTTCTCTTTTCAGCCACTCAATTCAGTTTTCTCATCTGTAAAATGAGGATACTACCTCCTTAGGGAAGACTTATGATGATTAAATGAGTTTATATGTAAAGTTAGACCAGTATGTAGCATATAAACTTTGAAAATTTCTTACCATCTATGTGTAATTTGACTTTTTAAAAAATGTTGTAAATTATAGAACCACAAAATGTGCCTCAGGATGGTCAAAGTGAATTTGGTAGAAGCATTTTTTCCCAGGAAGGTGTAGTAGGGAGAGTGGCGGGATGGGCAGGAAGGATTGGGGAAGTGGGGCTGTTCTCCTAGGTCCTGAACTCTACAGTGGCCTTATCCAGATCCATGTTCTTCAACATTTTTTATCTCACAGCACACTTGAACCCATGGTTAAATGTTTACGGTACACATAAATTATGCTGATCAGTGGACAGGGCCTGTGGCTCAGTCAGTAGGGCTCTGGCCCTATATACCGAGGGTGACGGATTCAAACCCAGCCTTGGCCAAACTGCAACAAAAAAATAGCCGGGTGTTGTGGTGGGCGTCTGTAGTGCCAGCTACTCGGGAGGCTGAGGCAAGGAGAATCGCCTAAGCCCAGGAGTTGGAGGTTGCTGTGAGCTGTGTGACGCCACAGCACTCTACCAAGGGTGATAAAGTGAGACTGTATCTCTACAAAAAAAAAAAAAGAAGAAGAAGAAAAATTACATTGATCAAGAAGAGCAAAAGAGTACAAAAAACACTGTGCTTTGAACTTGTTTTGAAAATAATTTAATTAAAGATCTTTAAATTTTTCTCAGCACACCTAAGATCCTTTCACTGCCCACCAATGTGCCACAGCACACCAGTTGAAAATCACTGGTCAGACTCGGCACCTACAGCTCAACCGGCTAAGGCGCCAGCCACGTACACCTAAGGTGGCGGGTTCGAATCCCCAGCCCAGACCGCCAAACAACAATGACGGCTGCAACCAAAAAATTGCCGGGCGTTGTGGCGGGCACCTGTGGTCCCAGCTATTTGGGAGGTGGAGGCAGAAGACTCGCTTGAGTCCAGGAGTTGTAGTTACTGTGAGCTGTAATGCCATGGCACTCTACCCAGGGGGACAGCTTGAGGCTCTGTCTCAAAAAAAAAAAAAAAAGAAAGAAAATCACTGGTCTAAAGGTTCACACACACTTGGCCTTCTTACTGCCCTAAATCCATTCTTCCTGTTTCCACAGGTTCACCCAGAATCTATCTGTATTTCGAAGAGAGGTAGCAGAGGCTCTGCGCAGTGATGGCAGTGCCGAACCCTGTGGTCTGGACATGATGAGCTGATTGTGTTGTGCCCAGCAGCCTTCATCAAGAGACTCCTGAGGGTCTGGGTCGTAGGACAGTGATGCTCATTACCCTGGGGGAATGTATTTTTCAAAACAGAAAACACCAACAAAAGTCCTACCTTTTTATAAGTCTGACCTAATTATAAGAATTTATAATAGTCAATGTAAATTCAGTCTTTTGCTCTGAAAAAAAGTATGTTTTCAGTCTTTCTATTGAATATTATCTTTGTTTTTCATAATGCTTTGAAAGGATGTAGAAATAATATTTAACCAAAGAACACAATAAACCAGGTTTACGCATAAGTGTGTACTAGTTAATGGTTCTACAATTAAGGTTGTCAATTTGTGAGATACAGCCTTCAACATGGATCCTGCATTGAGACAAATGCCAGTGGAACCTGTTAAATGAGCAGTTTATCATGAGTCTGGAAGAGGCACCGTTAGGGACTTTGGGCTATGGGTGTTTAAAAGGAGTCTGAGAGCACTGCAGAGCATCCCACAGGGCTGTGCACAGGCCTCTGCTCGGCCACATCTGATAAAGTTGAGAGACAGTAACACAATTAAATGGCTTACAAACAATGTTTGCTTTTCACTGGCATAAATCTGAAGTGGTTCAGTCTAGAAGAATTAAGCTGCATTTACTGCCTGCAGAGAGATTTCTTTGGAAGGAGTCATGTAGCCCCAGTAAAAAGTTGTGGGTGACGCCAGCACCCAGTCCTGCCTCCATTTGCTTTTTAAAAGAAAAGCTCCTAAATGTTACTATTAAAATGTGACACTTAAAGTAGCTCTGCCTTCTTGGTCTACCCAAAATGTTCTAAGTGCTAAAGTTCAGATTTTCAGAAGATAAGGAACAGAAGGTTTCCATCCCTCCACAAAAACTTTTTATTACTGTTGAGATTGTGACTTAACCCAAACCCAGAACATGAAGAAGGCCTTTACAGTTTGTGATAGACTGCAACTAGACTATTAATTTGAATCACCACTGGCAAGTGGTTTTTGTACCTCACTGTTCTGTCTTTATGGTCCAGGTTTATAATAAATATCATGCCTCTTATTTCTGATAAGACATGAAAGCTTAGCCTTACATCCACAGAATTAAATCCACAGGCTCCTGTTACAATCTCATTTCTCAGAGTGTTTCCCAAACCTTTCTTGATAGTTGAGTTTTCCAACAGGCATGTTATATAAAAACAGTCACCCAAGTTTATCTTAAAATGTTTATCTTTCATGTATGAAGGAACTTGGAGGAAAATGTGTTATAGATGAGATTACCTCTAGTATTTAATGGAGAAATAAGCTGTGGCCTTATGTTACATTTCATTAGAAATGGAGAATAAAATTTTCCTTGAAAAGGAAAATTCTGAATTCTATTCAACATCAGCTAACTTCCAGGGAGTTTGATAAGATTTTCTATTTCTTGAAGGCTTATAATTGCACACTCATCCCACAATGTTTTATACAAGGCCTTCCCCATTCTGGCACTATTTTCTTTACAAATATCTAGTATCTAAAAGCACCATGTCATGTGCATTAAAATACTCACAGGAAAATGACGTGTATTTGCTTCTCTGTCACCCCGCCAGAGGTCACCTGGCAGTTTCACAGCAGCCAAGAAAGGCTCCACCAGTCTTAGCCTTCAAGAGCTGTTCTCAGAGGAGTACTGGTCAGGCTTGCTCCCACTTCTGCCTTCAACAGGAGCTGCCCATGGTGCTGGACGTAGCACAGGGCAGCATGCCTCTTTCATCCCTTTACATACATTATTCCCCTTTGTCTTCACAGCAGCCTTATAGAAGTAGGCAGCAGCAGTCCCACTTTGCAGATGAGGACACAAAGACTCAAAGATGGTGTGTGAGCTTATACAGGTCTCATAGGCAGGATGGGAACCCAGGTCTCTCTCATGTGAAAGGAATTCCTGGCCTCTTCCAAGTAAGACATTTTTTCAGAATGGTAAGTTGAGAACTTTAGATTGGTTACCATTTGTTTTTCAGAACTCTGTTGTTAAATAACAAATTAGCCCAAAACTTAATATCTTAAAGCGACATTTATTATCTCACAGTTCCTGCAGGTCAGGACTTAATAGCTGAGTGCTCTCTTCAGGGTCTCACAAGCTATATACAGGGTTATCAGCCAAGGCTGTGACTGGGGAAGGATTTGCATCTAGGCTCAATGGTGTCTGTTAGCAGAAGTCAGGTTCTCAGGGGTTATTGTCTGTTTTTTGCCAAATGGGCCTCTTCACAAGTCAGCTCACAACACTTGAGATCTTACTTCATCAGAGAAGAGAGGACAGCAGTTTGGAAGTCACAGGCCTTTCTCGCCTACTCTCAGAAGCAGCATCCCGTCACTTATGCTGCCTGCTACTCATGAGAAGTAAGTCACTCGGTCTACCCCACACACGGGAAGAGACACACAGCACTGGGTGGCTTCCAGGAGGCAGGGATCGTTGGGACCCATTTTTACAGGTGTCTGTCTGCTGCAACTCTTACCTGGCCTTGACTAGAGAGATTGAGTTTTGGCTACTGTTTGGCTTCGGTTGAATTTGAGACCTGGAAAGGAATCTTAATTTTCCTTTAGAGTGCTAAGTTTCATTCTGAGCCCTTCCTGAAGGAGGAAAAGGAAGTGCAGATTATGAAGTATATGTTTGATCACATAAACTGCATACTCATCCCATAATGGAAAAGAACCTAATTTGGCACTATGTCCCCCATCCTCATGCTGGCCAGAGTCTGCCTTGGTAAGGGAGAGTGGGGACTCTTGGGAAGAGTATGTCTGTAGGGCCCCATGTGGGAGTGGTCTCTCCAGAGATCCTATCCCAAGAACAAAACAAGCATACAGGGCAAGGACACACCCAGACCTGTGCAGGCTATACAAAAGACAGCTAGTGGAGCTACGTTAGTCTACCAGATCACAAGTGTATCTAACTTAGATTCAGAAACAGGAAAAAATAAAGAGTGCTGGCAATTCCACAGGACCTACCACTTAACAGAGATTCTCAGAGTGAGGATGAGACGGGAGGCGAGGGCCTCTTTGCACACCTCACCCTTCTGATGGGATTTTAGTGTATAAACAGATGTTTTGCTCATATGATGTGGGGCTCTAAGGCAAGCCAGATGCTTCAGCCAACACTCAAGCAAGAAACAGATGAAATATTTTGACTTTGCTTAATTTTTGTCTTTGCCTTTCACACTGACTTCAGAACCTGATCCTTGAGAAAGGTGTATCCTGCCTGTATTCTAGACATTTCTGTTTCTTTATACTTTCCAATCAGACTTCTCTACAATAGAAGACACAGAAGCATCAGGTGCCTGTATTGAGTGTGACAATCTGAATTGCCCAGCAAAGCCCTTTTAGTGCCCTGGACTTCTTCCACTGGCCTTGACAACCTACAAGTACCATCTGGTTGTGGTAGTGTGGCCTTTTCGAAATGCAGAACTAGCCTGGCATGTAGCTGCTAGCTGAGATTGGTGACCAAATTAGCTAACTGCCAACAGGGAACTAAACATGAGAACCAAAAATGGGGTAGAAGGCCGGGCTCGGTGGCTCACGCCTGTCATCCCAGCACTTCAGGAGGCTGACATTAGTGGATTGCCTGAGCTCAGGAGTTCAAGACCAGCCTGAGCAAGAGCGAAACTCTTGTCTCTACTAAAAATAGAAAAATTAGGCGTGGTGGCATACAGGAGGCTGGGGAGGCTGAGGCAAGACAATAACCTGAACCTAAGAGTTTGATGTTGCTGTAAGCTACGACTCCACTGCACTCTACCCAGGGCAACAGTGAGACTCTCTCAAAATAAACAACAAAAATAACTGGGTAGGTCTGATGGAGAAAGTGAAAGATCTAGCATACAGAAAATCTCATCTAGATGGGGGCTAGTTCAGCAGTGTTGGTGAAGTAGCATTTGAGAGAACTTGGTTCTTTAATGATGAGGAGGGAAAGGAGTACCTGGCAAGAGCAAGATAGAAAGGGAGAAAGTAAAAGTTTCAAGATGAATATAAAATAATCGGAACTGCTATCATTTATTTGAGTATGTGCTAAGCATCCCAATTGCTATCTCATTTTATGCTTCCCAGTAACAATTTCAAATATTATCACCCCCATTTTAGAGATGGTAAAACTGAGGCTAAAAGTCTGACCCAAAGCCACATAGCCAGAAAGCAGACACACCAGCATTCAAATCAGCTCTGCCTGATTCCAAAATACATGTTTCTTTACCACTGCAATCCCTTGAGCTAGTACTTCACAGCTGGGGTTGGAAGACAGTAGGGTGGGAGAATTGAATATGGAGCCCTGCATCCCCCCACCCCCCAAGTGGGACTAGGCACTCCCACAGAAAAGCCAGTCCAAGATCCCTTTGTGTGTTGTGTCTGTCTGTAGGCTGTGCCACCGATTCATCCCCCTCCCTGAACTTCATAAAATCATTCTGGAGACTTTTTAATGTTTTATTGAGGTGCAAGTTTACGATGACAGCAAACCTTTCAAACTACAGCAAGAGTAACCTGCCTCCTTGGCATATTAAAAAATAATGTTAGTGTTGGTTTTTACGTCCCATAGTTTGGATTGCTGATAAGAGCGCTTCCTTGACAAGATTCTTTTTGAGGTTTACAGAAAGCGTAATAAAATATGTAAGTTACATTTCCACAAACAAAAGCTATAACATAAGTTATTTATAAGTGTGAGATACAAACAGTATCACGATAAATAAACCATAAAGGGTACCTGCAACATTCATCTTAATGTAATTTGCCCAACAAAAGTGTTGAAACGAAGTCAAATTTAGTAGAGAAACCTGTCAGGAAAGGAGGAAAGTTGTAGAGCACAAAATAGGAAAAATGGCTGATAGGTGAGGGAAGGAAACAAGAGCATGAGATGAAGTTTGGAGGTCCCAGAGAAGGCCCTCGTGTGCTTATGCTCTTGCTGCCCCCAACTTGTGCAACACTAACCAACCCCGGGCACCCTTCATACTGCCTTCTGCACATGGTCGCTGATCACACCACTTTCTGCAT